TTTAATAGATTTAAGTAATGCCGCTTAAGACATATATTGTGATTATTATATAAAAAACTATTTTAATTTTATTAACTATCTAATTAAAGTACTTTACATAATATTGATATTAAAAGTAAAATTTTTAAATTTTTTTTATATAAATTAATAATAAAAATATGTAAAAATATTTTAAAAAATACACTTTAAAAAAAATCTCATTATAAATTACTAATTAGTACCAACTCAACATTGATTTAGGATAAAAAATGCCACCTTATTGTCATATATGTTAGGGGGGCTGATTTGTGTTTGTTTTTAGTTTAGGGGCTGATTTGCCTTTTTACCTCTCTTTTTTTTTTTTTTTTAAGATTTGAATTGTCCCATGTAATTTCGGTGTTTCGGTCTGATACGCAAAATACTCACAGATACATCGAAATTTGATCAAAAAAATTGAAATTTGATCGCAATGGATTTTGACTCTATATCGTTTCGATTTAGCTAAAAAACCGGTACATACCAGGCAGTGGATTTTTCAACATTGCTTTCATCCCATGCTTTTGTTCCATTTGCAAATGTATCATTTCCTATGATATAGTGTTAAAGAAGTTAAACAATCAATTATAATAAATAAATTTTATAGTCTAATGGGGTGGTTAGGAGCTTGTGAGATTCCAACTTGAATATATCAAGTTTAAAACTTTAGTCACATGGGGAGAGATTAGGAAAAAAAAAAAAAGAGTATTTTTTATTATATAACTTATTATTAAATATACCAAAAAAATAAAATCTAAATCTTAGCTTTAATTAATATTATTGTTATTATAGTAAATTTAGTTGTTTTTCCTCAATAAATTACTTAAATCTCTATATAACAACTTCTTGTATAACATAATATACCTTTCTTTCAATTTTGCTTTCTCTCTCTCCCATGCTTTAATTCCTTTTATATATAGCTTATTTGTTCTTGTATTAAAAAATATTGTTTCACCATTCCAGTTAATTTCCTTTTACTTGTATACTTTTTATAGAATACAAGTTTAATTATAGAATTTGTTTCAGAATTTTTCTGTATTTCATTTTAAGCTTTTATATACAATCAATCTCCCATGGCAACAACACTCGATTCAATATGACTAAAGAATTCGAAACTTTCAGCTTCTCAGTGATTCTCATGATCATTTTCCTTCCATCCTTTGTCTCCATATGGCGGAGCTAGACGGTTTTAATCACAAAGTTCTATCAAGGAATTTTTATTTTTATTTTTTTGAAAGCAATCTAGCAACAAGTCCGAGCCTCGTTGAAATGAGCAAACTCAAATATAAGAGAACTTGGAGGTCCTAGTCCTTGCCAAGGGAGCAACGTTTATTTTCTATTCATTTTTTTAGTACATATTATAAACTAAATTTGATTGAATTAGCAATAGACTAAACTTTTGTTACTCTCTCTATCTTAATTTTTTTTAGGTAATATGTATACATAAATACACAATTTGTCACCAAATTTTTAACCCCTTAAAAAAGTTTGACAACTATTGTTATTAGAAAATTAAAAAGTATTGTACAAGTTCCAATTGCATATTATTGCATAACACTAAGATTTTGTTTGATAATATTTTTCTATGCTTTAATTTTTATTTTTATGTCTTTTTATTATTCTAAAAATATATAAAATATTAATCAAAATAAATATTAAATATATTTTATATATTTTTAAAATATTAAAAGATGAAAAAAACAACAACTAAAATTATAAGGTAGCACTATTAAATTAAACATAACTATTAAATAGGATTGAACTTTTTAATATTGCTTGCCCTCCGCAATTCAATAGCCAACGTTTTATCCTTGGAATTATAAAATAGAAAACTCCTATTATTATTGTGTGACTAAATGAGAAGTTTAGCATATTGAGCTGAGAACAAACAACCTCAGGGTGTAAATTGTAAACAATTCTTGACATGGTTGTATCGATAGGGATTTAGTAAAAATAAAATACAATCTTTTAAAAAATTTTAATTGAGGATATGACTTTTTAAAAACTAATTAAGATTATTATATTTCAAAAAATTTTAATTAAGAATATGACCTTGTAATTTTACTAATGAAAGATTAAACATATATGCATGCTAACTAGTTGTCGCCATTTAAAAAAGATAAAAAAAGACTAAAAATTAAGTAAAGATTGTTAATCATGTCAATAGGTACACTTACTTAATTTTTTATTAGTAATATTATAAAGGCCACTTTTTAAATTAAATTTTTTTAAAATAATAATCTTAATTAATTATGAAAAAAAGACTATACCTTCAATTAATTTTTTTTTTAAATCTACAGTTTTGTTTTTACTAAGTGTATGTTTGGTATAATTGGTGAGAAATCCTTTTAAATTTTAAAAGTTTCAAGTATATTAAACACTATAATTTATGAAAAATGCTTCAATATTTTATAAGTTAGTCTTTTATCAATTTCATTGAAATATCAAAAGCACCAAATTGGTACTTTCATAGGAGTTTCTCATTTAGATTTTAATGAAATTAATACATTTTTTATTTTTTTATTTACAAAAAGAACATTTTTATAACAGTTTTTTTTAAATAAATTTCTATTAAAAACCCAAGTTACACCAACCGGCACACTAAATCTTTGGATCAATATTTAAAAAAAGGCAAAATCTAGGTACTCGTATACAAATCCAAGTACCGTTCAATTTTCAAACTTTTTCAATGAAAAAAAAGGAAAAAACACGCGCCCCTACTAGCTGATAAAAAACCAGGGAGCTGGGAGCAATAAAGAGGCACCAGAAAAAGATTTCTTTCCCTCTCAAAATCTCCCTCCGGAAAAACTCAAGAAGTAAGATGGGAACCTCATCGAAGGAAGAACAGGCCTCCGACGCCGACACCTCGAGCGGCGACGCTCCTCCCTCCGACACCAGTTTGTTCTTCGAGGGCGAGCGCGTCCTGGCCTATCACGGCCCTCGCATCTACAAGGCCAAGGCACGCCTTTCTCCTCTTCTCTTTCCCTTCTTCATTTCCATGATTTCTTCTTACTCTCTTCGTTTTCTAATTGTTTTCCTTCTCTACATACTGCATCTTCACCGCTTTCTTTACTCCTGTGAACCTTCTTGCTTCGTTTTGTTATTTCTGTGGTTTTACTCGGTTTTTCGTTTCAGATTTCTGAGATTTAACTCCTTGTTTCGTTTGCTGAAGAATTTGTTTGAGATAATGTTGAGCGATTTGCTTTTTTCGGACCGGACAACATAATTTGTAGCTCCTGGAGACCGATTGGTGGAATTAGGGTTTTTATGGTTACAACCTTTTTAATGTTATTGATTTGTACTAGATAGAATTATTTTATGCAAATTATTATGTTTAACATGCTAAAATGTAAATGCTGTTAATGTTATTGTTTATTGTTCTAAAAGCAATTATTTATAAGCCACAATGTAGTTGGGTTATATTTGCGTAAGTTTCATTTAGATGCTTGATGAGTATAGAAGATCTAAGCGATCACTTACTTGTTCTGTCTATTTTTGTGGTCTATGATAATGACGATCATTGTTCTTACATAGTGGTTGATTGTGACGAATTGACAATTCATACATAGGTACAATTGCTTATTGCGTAATCAAAATTGTTCAGTTTGTAAGATCTATGTAATGAATTTGATTTGTTATATGAATGCATTGAGTAAAAGGATCTTTGGAGTGACATAAAACAAGTAGACTAACCTATATATGGACTCCATGTGATTGGTAGAGAGAAACTCTAATTTCCTATAGTTATGGTAGGATGAAAGGTTAATGTTTAGAGGCCAATCACTGTCTTTTTTTATTTTATTGGGTGTATGAAGACAAGATAGCCTCTAGAAGCCAAAGATCAAGTGGTGCTGAGATTGTCTGGCAGTAGAGAAAGATTGATTGTTTGAGGTATTAGTTGTTATGTCAAGAGTAAGGGGATCGAATGGCTGTATTTTTTGATTACTGAGATTAGGACTTGGTAAGAAGAACTGAACTGATTATGTTGCCGAAAAGTTGAAAGGTGAGGTATTGAAGAAAAGAGGAGCCAAACAGATACAAATAGTTCAAAGAATCTATTATAAATTAGAACAGTTAAAGAATGTGACAAAACAAGGTAAGCATAAAAGAAATACTCAGGTAAACAGTTCTTTGAGAAGTCCAATAGACCATATTTCAATTTAAAAGGGCTACCATTTTATGGAGACTAAATAAATGTATATAAAGACATTTCAATCACTTTTACCTTGCTAGGTAGTACTTGCACTCCTATGCATGAAACACCTAGTTTAAATAAATGTATATAAAGACATTCGGCCAACTTTTACCTTGTTAGGACTTGAACTCCCATATATGAAACACCTAGTTCAAATCTTCACCTAAAAGACTAAACCACTAAAAATTACCAGAGAATAAGGAAACTTCTTTATTGATGTTTCAAAATCTTTTGTAGTTACAACCTAACCCTACTATTTTATGTCTTAGGTTCAAAAAGCTGAGCTTCGAAAGAAAGAATGGAAATATTTTGTTCATTACCTTGTAAGTCTACCTGCTATACTCTCTTTCTTTTCTTTTTGCAATTTAGTGATGCTTGTCAACAGCATTGTATTCAAGCCTAAAGTTTTACATGCTTAGTCCAGCTGTGCTGTCTAATATGGAGAGCAGGAGAAGCTAAATATTCCTGATTTTTATATTAAGAGGTGCCATATTTGCTGTTTTGCAGGGTTGGAATAAAAAGTGAGTGTGCCTTCTATCAGATAAGCAGCATGAGCTGTTATATTTTTTGAGTTCATATATTGGGTTCAAGGACCTTATAGGTTATTCTTTAATCTTTTCCTTCCAACAAATCTGCATCAATATGATAATTCTGTGTCTTGAGGTCTGTGATTTGGGTATTGTGCTAACCATCTTAAAGCAGCACCTTTTTGTACCAAACTAGAGTATTCAATAACTTGTTTCTCATTCTTTTCCCTTTACAGTACATATAATTTATTTTTGCTCACTACTGTGTGAAAATCGCTCTCTCAGTTTTCTTTCCTAACTTATGGACTTTAAGATATACTTAGTGATGCAACCCACTTTAAAAAAGTTCTAAGTTCTTTTTTCCCTTTTCTTTAGGTTGCAAAGTTACCCACAAAATTTTTTCTTATATTCAGTCTGCAGGGTAAATAAAATTTTCTTACATATGATTGCACTTTGCAGGGATTTTCCCAAATCCTAAACATTTAGTTTCAAGAAAATGAGCAATGGTCATTGCAAACTTTGCTTTCTCTGGTTGAATATGTTCCTTTTACACTTACTACCAATTTTTTTAATAATTCATTCATGCAATCATGTCATCATCAAGACTTGTCAGGCAGAGGACCTTTTATATTTAAGATGCTAGAAAATGTATGCTTCCATTGATGTATCCCCTTTTTCAAAAAGGGAAATGGAAATCATTACTATGGCTTGGACATCTTGCCAACAGTTGGGACGAATGGGTAGGTGTTGACCGGCTGTTGAAACATACTGAAGAGAATGTCATGAAGCAGCACGCCCTTGAAAAAAAACAAGGTGTTGATAAGACTTCTAAGTCTGGGCGTTCTACTCAGACCAAACCAAAAGGTCCCGCGGGTTAGTTAACCACATCTATTTTTTAACTGATCTATTATTTATTTTCAAATTTTCTAGCACTGTTTGAAAAACTTATTAGCTGCTTTAGTGTTTTGCTGTTTCTTCTGTTCATTTTCTGTTTGCATTTTTGTGAACATTTCTGTGATATCATTAGTCAGTATGTTGAACAAATGCCTTTGTTTATCTGTTCAGATTACTGAGCCATCCCATACTCAACTCAAGTGATTTCAATTGATAACTCTGTGTCTTTCTGTGGTTAAAATTTTACTTCTTTATTATTTTCTGAGAACATGACCTTAAGCATATAAATTGCAAGTTATTTGTGTGTGATAAGAGAGGATAGGTGAAAGTTTAGAGAATAAACTTATGGGGCACCTAACAATTTGGTGACCTCCTGTTTTAAATTAATAGAGTTATATGTACAAAGAGCGTAGATGTTTTATTTGCACGAAGTCACTAATTATGTCACCCCACAGTAGCATGTATGGCATCACTCCTGGAAAGCTTTTTAACTGTTTTCTGTTGTGACAACTCTCTCGTTGAATTTTGTTCATTTAGATTATTTTACTTTCTCTTTCTTTTGATAAATACATCCAAGTATTCCAATCAGGTTTTTGAATACTCTCATTTGTTGCTCATTGCTAGTCATGTTTTTTGCTACTATTAGAGCTTATTTCGTTTCCATTGTTAATGCTACTTACTATTTGTTTTGATTGAAGATGCAAAAGTGGATAAAGAAGACCTCAAAAACAATGGTATCCATTTTTTTGAATTAACTCTTCTTTTTTGCTTTCATTTTGTCACCTCTTTAGTGTTCATTGTTTTGCATCCATTGAGTTATTATTCATTATTGCCAGAATCATTTTTTAGTGCCCAGGTGGATATTGTTGCTCTTTAGCTTGGTACTGATTTCTTTTGAGCGGCTTATCTTCAATCTTTTTATTAACTTTGTTTTTATAATGTGTATTTGTTGTAGGGTCAAAAGGGAAGAAGCGAAAGGGCAATTCAGCCATTGAGGTCTGGTTTCCACATGATAACCATTCTTTTGTTTCCTGAATGGTTTTAAGATGTCTTGGTTCTTACCATTTTGCTTCTCTATCTTGGACTTTTCTTCCTATCTCTCTCTCTCTCTTTTTTTGGCCTTCTCTTCCTATTGAAATTTTCATTTGATATGTTGGGTGATATTTTAGAACAACAACTCATCTATGGAGAAGCTCATCAAAATTCAGATCCCATCAGCTCTAAAGAAGCAGCTTGTTGATGATTGGGAATTTGTTTCCCAGCAGGATAAGGTATTTTTGTTATGAACAGTTGGATTAACTTTCCATTATTCTAGTTTGAAGATTATTATAGTTGACTTGGAAGAAGTCTGTAAAGTTTAATTTGCCTACATTGATGTTAATGCTGCTATTTTTTATCTTTTCGTCATCACTGTCAAGTATTTTTAGATTAAATTTCTAGGGGCATATTCTTCTACACAACTTACAACTCTACAATCCCTTGGCAAATTTAGCCAATTCATTTATTCCCTACCTTTTTATTGAGTTTAGTTGGATATACCATTCAATTATACATGACTGAATGATAGGACATTGATTTCTTTTGCAGCTTGTTATACTTCCTCGATCACCCAATGTTGATGATATCTTGATGAAGTACCTTGAATACAGATCCAAGAAGGATGGCATGTGAGTTTTACTTTCAAATGTTCTGACTTGCTTGGTATAATCACTGTAACCATGAAAGTGTCCCATGTTCAGCTTTGAATCATAACTGTACTTGTTCCATGCATATGCACGGGAACACACATAGCAAGCAGATATACAATCTTGTCAGGGATAATTGCATGTTTATTCTTGTTTTAACTTATGTGTTTAATATGCATGAGGGTAAATAAGTTCCTAGGTAGTACCAATTCATGTCCTTGCTCTTCTGTGCATATTGTTCTATGGATTGTTTACATCTGTAATCCAAATCTCAAAATGCTGGCTTGGAGTGCCCAAGCTTACACCAGAGTCGTGATTTTTTTCATACAGAATGATGGATTCAATTGGAGAAATCCTCAAGGGTATTCGGTGTTACTTTGATAAAGCTTTGCCTGTGATGCTTCTTTACAAAAAAGAGCGCCAACAGTACCGAGAAGCAGTCCTCAGTGATGCCTCCCCTTCAACAATATATGGTGCAGAGCACTTACTTCGCCTCTTTGGTATGCTCATCTGTAAGACCAGTGGTCTATGAACATTATTCAAGTTTATAGCTTTCTTTTTATACTGTATGGATTCTCGGGACTTGACTGTTTTAGCTAAATACTGTGTTCTTGTGTTTGCAGTTAAGTTGCCGGAGCTGTTGGCATATGCTAATGTTGAAGAGGAAACATTGACCAACTTGCAGCAGAAATTGCTGGATTTTCTCAAGTATCCACTTCTATCTCCTTTCACTGTGTTTTTTACTTTTAGCTGTTTACTGCATCTGTACCATCTGGGCAGAATTTGGTTATCTCTATTCTGAATAAATTCAATGAATGGAGAGACAAAATGCCTTTATCATAAATGTTACTTCATTTTCTAAAAATACTTCTAATGCAATGCAGGTTTCTGCAAAAAAATCAGAGCAGCTTTTTCCTTTCTAGTTATGATGGGCCCAAAGGTTCGGAGGGTAAAGTAAAAGATGATTAGCCATCCAAACTTTTCTACCATCTCTGTTTTTTCATAAACTCCATTACCAGTTCCAGTTGACAAATTTGGCGGAAAGCATCTCCTGTTGTGCTGGTATACTGTCTTCCACTTCTATAATCCGATGGAGACAGCACCTTATTGTTGTTGTAACAGTAGAATTGATCATTGTTTGTTTACCTATCATCAGGATGTCCGGTGACATTTTATGAGATGTATAATAGCTAATGATTGTTTCCTCAAGCCTTGGTGTAATGATCTTTGTAGCAAGTACCGGTGATGAGAACTAGATATTGAAATTGTAATCCTTTTCTCCTTTAAATTGAAAGCAAGGCTGATTACATGTGTGCCAAGCAATTTATTTCATGTTTGTAAAAATATCGTGTTCATTTAATGGAAGTGTCATTTAGTTAACGACACCAAGATCAAGAAAATATTGCCTGCACACTCACTTGTTGAATTGTTCGCGATTGCTTCCAGCAACGTCCAGCACAAACCTGTACCTCACATCGTTCTTCTCCATCCTCTCAAATGCTTTGTTCACATGATCCATTTTCACCACCTCAATCATTGATGTCAATCCCTTCTCTGCCCAAAATTCTAGAATTCCCGGCGTTTCTTCAGTGCTTCCTAGGAAACTTCCAGTCATTGTCTTCCTTCCTGCATCATGCAACTTACCATATCACCAGTGCCCTCTATTAACTGAATAACTGGTAGGAAGGATGCAGACTATATTGGCAATGACATACCTAGAATTAGATCGTCTGAACTAAACTGGAGTTGTGTGGCAACCCCGACAAAAATCAGCTTCTCATCAACCTTGAGAAGTTCAATATAGCGCTGCAAAAGGTGAGGAGCAGGAACAGTGTCGAGAATATAGTCGAAACTGTTTGCTGTTCCCTCCATCTCTGCTGCATAGCAACCCACTATATAAGCATCCGCACCTAAATGCTCCAAAGCCTCCACTCTCTTCTTATCTGAAGAGCTTGTCACCGTCACATGATGCCCCATGGCCTTTGCTATTAGCACACGAAAATGATCAAGTCCTCCCTACCCCAGAATTCCTGCCTTCATAACCTTACCAGCGTTACTGAATTGCATCAGGGGACTTTATGCTGTCACCCCACAACACAATAGTGGTGCTGCCTTTTCTTGTGCTAGTTCTTCAGGTATTTTCACAACAAAACTGTACTTACTCTGACATCAATTACCTTTGGACATCAAAAGATTTAAGGAGCAAAAGCCAATTGGGATAGCCTTTTTCTTTCTCGACTAACTTTGACGAACCACCATGGCCGATGAATATCCTCCCTGAGTGGGTGTGCCATCTTTATAGATGTCACCATAAATGAAGATACTCTTGGGGAAACACTGTTCCATGTTGGAATTGTAGGAGGGCTGGTCCCCACAAGAGCCAACCATGCACCCAACTCCAACCGTGTCTCCCAGCTTGAACTTCTTACTTCTGAACCCAACTCCACAACCTCACCCACCACTTCATGCCTTCCAAAAAAATCCGAGTTAAATTTCTGTGGAACTGTTTGTGTTAGAATGGGGAATAGGGAAAACTGAAAAAATGGATATATACCCAAGGATTAAAGGGTAATTTGCGGGGGTAATCTCACTCCTAATCTGATGAAGATCGGTGTGGTCTATTCCACAGTACAAGACTTGCAACACCACATCCTCTGGACTTGTTTTCCTGTCCAGGGCAAAGACATAGAAACATTAGCATTTTAGCAGTTTAATTTTGAAGGAGACAGGTAAAGAGATAGGAGAATCACTTGAGTGTGAATGAATATGGTGAAAGATGTCCTGATGCATCTCTTGCAGCCCAAACAATGACCCTTACTCCTCCCATTGCCTTGCTTCAGTTGGGTAGACTTCCTGAAGGAGAATGAAAGAAATGTATAGGAAATATTATGCCGTGTGTTGCTTTGGAATTTTATATTCTCAAAGGGGTTTCATGGTGATAGCTTCTTGCCCAAGTATAAGGCCAATGCCAACGTAATATTGATTCATATAATTCTAGAAGATATCACATTCAACCTAGAAACAATATAAGTATATGTTTGGTTTAAAGAAAATAAAAAAGAGTGATAAATCTTTTCACTAACCAAATTGTAATAAAAGTCAGTGTTATAATTTAATTGATTAAAAAAATCGTCAATCATTTCACTTCAAATTAAACACACACAAGAAAAATGTTGCAATTTTACCTAATGGCGGCACTAGCACTTTGAATGCTTGTTGATTTTACATTTTCAACATTAAAGTATTATATTCAATTGGCTGAGTTTGAGTGGATTGCTCCAAAGGGAGATGAATTTGTTGTTGGCCTTGCTCATCACTTGCGTCATGCACTTTTTCTTTGTTACTTATAAAGATGGAGATGAGTTCAAACTTAAAACCTTTGAAAACCTTAATGAATCACATTATTATATATTATATTGAAAATTGACAGAATGTAAAAAGTCATAAATAATAACAAATTAGGTAAAAATGGAAGTGGACAGTCCTGTACTGTTGGCGCATGAAGAAATACAACAGAGACCACGAACCTTACAACAACCGTTTTGTTTATGGATTGAAGAAAAAGTAAAACACCCTTAAAAGTTCATCCAAAAAAAAAAAAGAAGGAAAGAAAAGCTCTGTGT